ACAGTGCTCTTTCTCCAGGTCAGAAGAGGGCACCAGATCTCATTACAGATGGTTGTAAGCCACCATGTGGTTGCTAGGAATTGAATTCAGAACCTCTGGAAGAGCAGTCAGTGCTCTTAACCACTGGGCCATCCCTCCAGCCCCATTAATCTATATTTTATCATGTTGCCAGAAGTGTTATGGTTTATTTCTGCCCAAAAGTCCCACCTATCTCTCTTGTCTAGCTATTGGCCATTCAGCTTTTTATTACACCAATCACAGCAATACATCTTCACACAGTGTACAAATATCTTACAACACAGTGGTAGAGTGCTTACTAAGCATGTGTAAGGCCCCATATCCAATCCTCAAGACAATAAATTAATTAATTACAAAACAATAATAATAAGCCAAGTGTAGTGCACTGCTCACACCTGTAATCCCAGGACTTGGGAGGTAGATGCAGAAGGATCAGAAATTCAAGCTCATCTTCAAACACATAGGGTGTTTTTTGTTTTTGTGTTTTTTATTTTGGTTTTGGTTTTGGTGTTAACAGTCCTGGCTGTCCTGGAACTCGGTCTGTAGACCAGCCTGGCCTCAAACTCACAGAGATCCACCTGCCTCTGCCTCCCAGTGCACCACCAGCTCAGTACATAGGGTGTCTTAAAACACCCAGGACTTTAAAACATCTGTCTCAAAGATCACACTAGAATTCTATAATGCCCTTCACATGGATGGGGATGCTTTAGGAATAATTATTTTTTGGTAGACAAGGAAATGCTTCAAAAAGCATAGCAAAAAGTATAGCAGAAGCCGTGTGTCTTATCTAAAAATGAAGATGCAGACGTTGGCCTACCTGGCAAGATCAGCCGCAGGTACCCAATGTAGTACGACCAGGCTAGCCCTTGGGCAACATTGAAGCCCTTTTCTTCACAGATGGCAGAGATTTCCGCTGGGGCCAGGCTCTATAGACAGCGGGAAGAGCCTGAGGGACTTCCGAGAGGGACAGGACCGCCAGAGCCCTTCTCTTGCAGGAAGCTTTCCCAATCTGCTGCCCACTTGTTCTCAGTGCTGCTATTGAACCCACCAGCCCATGTCTCACAGCTCTACACCCAGCTCCTCCAATCTTTAGTCTCAATCCCAGCACTGAGCTCAGACAGGTCAACGCTAGTCACGGTCCCATCTACCCAAACCACCCACCTCTTCTGGGTCCTACCTGGAAGCCTAGAAGGATGTTGAGGGACTGTGAGAGTCCCAGGAGGGCAAACATCCAACAGAGATGCGGGCCAGTAGTATTTGGGAGGGAACAGTAGAAATAGAAGGACAGGAACAGCAGGGCCGTGCGGCGGATGGGACAGCCCAGGCAAGCGCGTACAGCCTTCCAGTATTTGCCCTGATACCTGCAGAGCACAGCCCAGCCTCAAATCCCAGCCCAACTCAGCCAATGAGGTTCAGGGAAGGCCAAAGTTAGGAGTCAAGGGTGTGATACTTGTTGGGTACCCAGTCTCCATGGGGACTGCAGAGGGTCACCTGGAGTGGACATGGCACAGCTCTTCAGCCAGACAGCAGACCTCTTTCAACAGTAGTCCAAGTTGCAGGGAGGTTAGGTGGAGCACCAGGTACCGGAGTGTGTGATTTGGGGGATCCCCAAGCCCCCAAAGGATCATGAGGCTGACCACCAGCAAGAACAAGGCTGCCTGTTTGGATCGGTGACCTCTGGGACGTGGGATGGATGGATGCAGGCTGGAATATGGCATCTGTGGGCATCAAGAAATCCACATCTCTGTTTCTGGTCCTCTCCTGCCCTTCACAGACTGAGGTCCAGACTGGTCACCTCCCGAGGTCTCCCATCCCTTGATTCCCGGCTATGCCCACAGGCCACTCTTGGAGACACCTCTAGGAGATGTCCTGGGTGCATAGCATTCCACAGCACCAGTCTAGGAAGGGTATATTGTAAACAGAACCCATGCATGCATGCATGCCCCTACTGAGCCCACCGGTGTGATAAAGAAAAAAGTGACAACCCAAGACGTAGACCTTAAAGTGTCCTATGTCAGCCTGCCCACCCAGGGTTGCTCCCCTGTGGAGTACCAGGGTAGTACTGCCGCATTTCTAACCCTACCTTCAGCCTCCTAGACTGAGGTGTTCCTGGAGCAGGGGAGACAGGGAAGAGCCGTACAGTAGCTACTGGCAAGTGGCCTCCTGAAGTGTAGACTAAAAATGAAATGTTAAAAACAACTGCAGCTTCCTCAGTAAAACCGCAGCCCCGGTCCCTTACGAGATCACAGTTTTGGGTACTCTAGGGAGAAGTGTGTTTCCTGTCAAAGCACCTCCCCCACCCAACCCTGACAGCCTTAATAAACCAGGTCTGACTATAGGAGAGGAAACGAGACAGCCCCTCCGGTGACCTTGCTGAACCCCCAAACTTAGGGCGTGCAGAAAGTCACTTACCACTCTGGGTTCCTCTTAAACTCCCAGGATGTAACGCACTCCAGTGGACACCCTGCAGGACTCCACACAACCCCACCGGATTTCCAGATGCCCATAAACCCGATATTACTAAGGCCTGGGATATTGGGAGGGGAGGGGTGGAGCAGGAGAGGTTGAGGGGGTAGGGTAAATGGCATGTTACTTCCTGAAACCAACCGGCTCTGAGCAGAATTTGGTGTAAGAAGCCTGGAAGAGGAGGGGTGCTCAGTTCTGGGAAATGACGTGCCTGTAACTTAGCTCAGAATGGCAGAGTGGGCGGTACCTGAGCACTCTAGATTCTGAATCCTGTTTCACTCAGTTCCCCCTGGTCCCCAGGCAGGTGGCTCTAATTCTCTCCTGATTTTTTGTTTGTTTTTACAACTACAGCTATTTATTTATTGTTGGGGGCGGGGGGACTAAAACAATTATTCATTCTCTCCTTTAACCATGTGGGTACCAGGGATCTAACACATCCTTAGGCTCAACAGGAAGCAATTCTTCCCTGCTAGCCATCCAGCCAGCTCTTTATCCTCCTTTTACATGAGGGTGATCTGAGCTCAGAGAGGGACAATAACTTTACCCAAGCGAGTGAGCCCTTGAAGCCCGTGAGTTGCAGATGAAAAATGCCAGGACCGTGACTCATGTAGTTTCCCTGGCACAGGGAGAATCTGGCTGCTGCCACCCCTAGACAAACATTCATTCCTTCCCAGGCAAGAAAGTCCTCTCCTGGGTCCTCCCCACATCACAAGCAGACACAGGGAAAGACAGACACTCAAAGATGCCCCTTGCCTCCCAGGAACACTTTGGCTTCCTGGAAAGTCTCTGGATTTTTAAAAGAAGTTCCTTGACCTGCAGGGAACCCCCTACATTTTCCCTTCCACAGTTAGCTTACATAAAGACATAAAAATGGTAGATGACAGCAGGAGAGGCGTGATGACTCCTTGCAGTAGGAATCTAGGTGATTTTTACTCTGTTTTCCCTTCATTCACTACGTGGAACGAAGAACATTATTTGTATTATGCCAACTGTATGCAATAGCACAGAAGGGGGTGTGTGTGGTGGTGTATGCCTATAATCCCAGCACCAAGGAGGCTGAGGTAGGAAGATTGCACTGAGTTTCAGGAAAGCCTAGTCTACATCGTGAGCAGTAACAACAAAGTATTCATCAAGGATGGGATGGAGAGATGCTCAGAAGTGAAGAGTCCTGGCTGCTCTTCCAGAGGACCTAAGGTAGATTCTCAGTACCTACACAGTGGTTCACAACCATCTCTAACTCCGTTTTCCGGGGACTAGATGCCTCTTCTGGTCTATTCAGGTACCTGTCATGAAAGTGGTACAGATATACATACATGCAGGCAAAATACCATACACACTAAGTAAGTAAATAAATAGACAAATAGATATGCTTGTTGTTTGTTTTGTTTTTAATATCCAGTTAGAAGAAAACTTCTTGACATTGCCTCCATCTGGGCACTGTTTTCTACTTGCTCCGTCCCCCTGTACTCATCCATTATTCTGGGCAATGGAGTACATGCGTGCCACGGAAGGTACTGAACCAGGTTCCTTAGGAACAGTTAGATGTGCCTGGTAGTCAGGAGCAAGGAGTACTGGAGACCAAGTGTCTTAGTCAGGTTCTATTGCTGGGACCAAACACCGTGGCCAAAGAGCAAGTTGGGGAGGAAAGGGTTTATTCGGCTTACCCTTCAGCATTGCTGTTCATCATCGGAGGAAGTCAGGACAGGAACTCAAACAGGGCAGGATCCTGGAGGCAGGGGCTGATGCAGAGGCCATGGAGGAGTGCTGCTTACTGGTTTGCTCCCCATGACTTGCTTAGCCTGCTTTCTTATAGAACCCAGGACCAGCAGCCCAGGCATGGCACCACCCACCATGGGCTGCCCCCACCCCCACTGATCACTGAATGAGAAAATGCCTTACAGCCGGATCTCACAGAGGCATTTCCTCAGCCGAGGCTCCTTCCTCTCTGATTACTCTAGCTTGTGTCAAGTTGACATACAAAACCACCCATACAACTGATTCCTTCCTTGTCAACCACACGCAAACACATCACTATTAAACCACAACCCTTCCTTTCTTACTCATCCCCATGATCTTAAATAACTTTAAAAGTCCCGCAGTCTTTACAAATTCAAACACATTACAATTTTAGTTTTGCAGGTCGGTGGTGGCACACGCCTTTAGTCCCAGCACTTGGGAGGCAGAGGTAGGCGGATCTCAGTGAGTTTGAGGCCAGGCTGGTCTACATAGTGAGTTCCAGGACAGCCAGGACTGTTACACTTGGAAACCCTGTCTCGAAAAACAAACAAACAAACAAAAAAAAAAAAAAATCAGTTCCTTTAAAATAGTCCATCGAAGGCTGCACTACCTTAATAGGTATTTTCTAGGGTTGGAATTCCATCCCCATTGTAAGGTACTAAGGGGGTGGGGACTTAGTCTAACCACGATGTATAAAGATGAGGCATTTCAGGGGTGATTAGGGTTAGAGAAGATCATTAGGGTGGAGCATCTATTATTTAAAATTGCTGGGTTTATAAGAAAAAAAGGCCAGTGGAGATACACATTGTCTCTTGTCTCAGCCAGACGTTGTGGTATACTCCTTGAAGAGTGGAAGCAGGAAGTTCACAGTCACCCTTGGCTATATAAGTGAGTTTTAGGACAGCCTGGACTGAATAAGAACCTGTCTCACAAATCCAAACCAAATAAATAAATACATGTCTCCTGTCTTTGGCCCCATAATGTCCTGTCTGGCTATTTTGCCAGCAAGAAAGTTAATACTGAGTGAGGGCCTTTAACCTTGGACCAGAACTTCAAACTGAAAATAAACCTGTTTTCTTTGAAATCTCCCAGTTTGTACTGTGCCCTTAACAACCAAAAACAGACACAGACATACATACTGGAGGATGTGACTTTAGCACATCTCCTTGGGGATACAATCAAATCCCTAACCTGGTCCAATGATAAATACAGGAAGCCTGGAGACTTGAGTAGGATCCTGAGGCCAGGCCTGAGAGACAGGGCTTGCATGTAACTATCCTCAACATATAGACAGGCAAGGAGTTTGTATTTGTCCAAGACTGACTATCTCATCAGCCAAGAGGAAGGCCACAGAGGAAAGTTGGTTTCAACAAGAGGAAGGCCACGGAGGAAAGTTGGTTTCAAGTTGCTGTCTAGCATCCAGGCTGCTACTTTCAAGTGTTTTTTTGTTTTTGTTTTTGTTTTTTCAGGGTTTCTCTGTAGCTTTGCACCTTTCCTAGAACTCACTTGGTAGCCCAGGCTGGCCTCGAACTCACAGAGATCCGCCTGGCTCTGCCTCCCGAGTGCTGGGATTAAAGGCGTGCGCCACCACCGTCTGGCTTCCAGGCCAGTTTTTCTGTCTTCTCTGACACTCACCATTGATATTCTTGGAAGAAAAATAACCTCATTTACCCATTCAGAGGAAGCTTTGTTTTGACACAGTGTGAACATCCTGGTGGCCTCTGGCCTCTCAGAGCCACTCTGGCCCATACAATCTCAGCATCTCTTAATCCTAGTAGGATATCAACATTCGGGAAGTTTTAATACCAGTGACCCTGTGGGACCTGTGATCCAGCCTGACTTCTTGTGATTCTGTCTTCTAGCTGTGTGGCCTTTGCCAGGTGTAATTATGTTATGTCCTAATTCCAACATTTAGGAGGCTGGGGCTGGAAGACAGTGAGACTCGACTACAAAGCATAATTAAATAGCATAATTATTCTTGACCTTAGCCAAAAGACCAAGAAGTGATAGCAGCATAAAATACATTTGTGGAGTCGGGTGGTGGCGCACACCTTTAATCCCAGCACTCAGGAGGCAGAGGCAGGTGGATCTCTGTGAGTTCCAGGCCAGACTGGTTTACACAGAGAAACACTATCTCAAAAAACAAAGGAAAAAAAAAACCAAGAAAAATTACATTTGTGGTATGATTGAGTCATCACCACTGTTAGTAATTGTTTTTTCATCACCCCAGACAGAAGCATGATACCCATTGAGTAATAATTCTCTATTCCTCTCTTCCTTCAGCTCCTGCTGATCTCTAAATTATCCTCTAACCTCTAACTTCTGCCTTTTCTAGATGTTCTTTTCAGACCATGTGATATTTGCTTGTTTTTAATTTTAATTTTTTTGAGTTATCACTATATATATGTAATATGTATGTATGTATGTATGTATGTATGTATGTATGTGTGTGTATAAGGTCAGGACCCCAGACGTTAGCACAACTGATTCCATGATGGAAGTACCATTCAGGCCATAAAACTCAGCATGTGACTCCACCAGTCAAAATGAAAACAAAGACCCAATCTATCAAACTCCATAGTTCTAGAAAAGTCTCTAAATCTTTATGACTTCTGTAGTTCTGCTTCTGGCTAACTGTCCTTGTTAATTGAAGTGTGTCAACTCAGGATATGGCTTTCTTTCTTTCTTCCTTCCTTCCTTCCTTCCTTCCTTCCTTCCTTCCTTCCTTTCTTTCTTTCTTTCTTTCTTTCTTTCTTTCTTTCTTTCTTAAAAACTCACCCTGGGAAAAGCTGGGGGCTGCTTTGGGACTTGCTATTGGCTTGAACCCATGTCTGAGTAGTCTTCCCCAGTGAATGCCCTTAGCAGGTTTCCTTACAGCATTGTCAAACAAAATGTGTGTATTTTAGCAAATTTCTGCATCCTCATCTCCCCCCTCCCTCTTCCTACCCTTTCCTGTAACTGCCCCTCATTCTCCTTTCTGGTTTCACTTCACCCTTCACAAGGCTCCTTTTGCCCTTCCCCCCACACTTCCTCAGTACCTCTACCCACTCTTGGTCTCCTTTCTAGTTTTTTGGAGTTTTTATTTGCTTTTAATGATTTTAACCCACATTTACATTTATTATTTCTGATTCAGGTGCCAGAATCAGAAGTCCAAGGTCATCCTTGGCTACATGGTAAGTTCCAGAAAAGCCTGGACTTCCTGAGCTCCTGTCTCAGTGCAGGAGAGGGCATAAAGATGTCTCAGTATATAAAGGAGCTTGTTACTAAGCCTGACAGCCTGAGTCCTGAGTTTGATCTCAGACCCTACATGTGGAAGGAGAGAACTGATTCCCAAAAGTTGTCCTCTGACCTCCACACCTGTGTGCACACACACCCTAATAGATAAATAATGTAATTGCTAATTTTAATTTTTTTTTGTTTGTTTTTGTTTCTCAAGACAGAGTTT